CCACAAGGCTTTCTTTCTATAAAGATAGTAGGTATAAACACAATATTTTGATATTGTTACTTTCTAGGGATCGTATTTTTCATATCCATTTTTTTAAAAAAAATTCTCTACTAACAAATCTAGAGTGTGATTAACATGACTGCCCATTTTAACACTGCATACACAGATTTTTTGTACATATGTAACATTGCTTCTTGGCATTTTGGCTACTCTACTATACACTCTCCTTCCTTCTACCTTCTGAACTTAATCTGGTAAGCAGTTTTTTATGGATTAGACATTTCTTCACTGGTGTAAACATCTATCACATAACTTAAGTTCATTGAAACACTAGGAATTGTTATTGATTACTCACCAATTCAAGTATGTATGCTTCCTCAATCATATTTTAAGACATATCTACAACTTTATATTAGTTTAGTTTGAATCACTGGTGACAACATATTTATATATCTCAGGATAGATATATGCAACAGCTTTCAGATGCTTTTGTACTCTTCTTTTTCTTGCTTTATGGAGCCCTAGTTGTGTAATGGCTAAAGAGCTTGGCTGCTAATCAGAGGACTTCTCTGGGGGAGGAAAAATATGGCACTCTGCTTCTGTAAGGATTTACAGCCTTGGAAGCCCTATGTGGCAGTTCTACTCTTTCCTTTAGGATTGCGATGAATTGAAATTGACTAGACAGCAATGGGTTTAGAGATTTTGCATTTGTTTGTGCTTTATATAGCATGTACTCTTTAATCCTTAAGGATTTAAATAATTTAAAGATTCATCAAAGAAAGCTGACAATTTAAATTGCAATCTCTCACCTTTTCTCATATCTCTTTTGTTTATATATATGAGTGTGTATTTTATTTGTTCTTTTTCTTTTAAAGATACATTCATAAAGTTGAACCTAATCAACATGCAAAATTGGGATTTGTGAAACTTAAACTCTGAGCACGCCTTAGTCACTAAAATTGTAATAGCATGAGGCATCCCTTAAGTCATTGTTTTCTCATTCTCCTTCACTTACTACTGTTGTTACATGTTGTCAAATGGGTTTTTGACTCATAGTGACTCCATGTGACAGAGTAGAGCAGCTTGCCAGCTCTTTCTCTCATGGAGCTGCTGGGTAGGTAGGTTAGTAGGTTACTCATTGCACCACTAGGGCTCCTTGACTTAATACTAAACGAATATAATAACACAGTTGAACTCTGGAGAATGTCATCTGGAATAATTACCTAGTGATTTAAAGCCTGCCCACAATACAAAGCACTTCAGAAATTCTCAGAATAACTAAGGAAATGAAAAGTCTTTATCAAGACATTCTATTTTATCATGGTCATTAGAAACAAAGAATTCAACCCTTTTCTCCATCAATAATGTTCATATATCTTCTTTCATAGCTCTCCTCCCTTAATAAGACTCTGTGTGAGTCTACAAATCTAACATTGCATTTTGATTCTAGTTCCATTTGAAAAACTTACACAGAAATAAATCATATTGAATGAAACAAAAGTTAAACCCTTTGTTGCCAATTACTCTACTGGACTTCCACAGTGAAAAGGCAGAAATATTTGTTCTTTTCCAGACCAGATAAAAACAAAATTATGAATGAAGACAAATTAGTTAAAGGTTTTTATTATTATTATTATTATTATTATTAAATAAGATTCTGAATTGTTTATTAGTATTCTATCTGAGGTTGAAGTTAAATGCCATAAAAGGAAAATTGCTAAATTGCTATTAAATTACTGCTACTAAGGTAAAGTGTAAGTGGCTTTGTCAGTAAATAAAGTAATAAAACAGGAACTTTTACGTTCAGAGGTTTTGTGGCATATATAATCACAACTTTCTTTTCATAGGTCTTCTGATTCTGGTACCGTAGTATCTGTAGGTTCAGTTGTTATCACTATAGGAATATTCTCAGATATCCATCCCTTAGGAGTCCTATTAAAGGACCGTCTGCTAGAAAGGGGATTGGTAAAGGCCATGAACCTGGGATCTGTTAGCAGTAGTAGCTCAAAATCTGGAACTTTGAATTTAACCATTTTTGATGCTTTTTCAAAACCCCCAAATGGGGTGGCGACTCTGTAGGAAATGAAAAGAAAAAGAAATGTTAATTAATTTATTTACCAAGAAACAGAAAACAATTTTGATTTGTGATTTTATGCCCATATTGTTATGTTCTTAGTATAGTTATTAGTTTTCATTTTTGAGGCAAGCATTTCTATTTAAGGATCATGTCTGTCTTTCTGATAAAAGTTATTTCTTAACAAATTAGTAGAAAGCTCCTTTGTATGAACTCTTAAGTTTTGTTTTGTTTTGTTTTTAGTTTTTGTTGTGATTTGGGTGAAAGTTTACAGAGCAAATTCATTTTCCATACAGCAGCTCACATACACATGACATTGACTGCAATTTCCCACAATGCAATAATTACCCTCCCACTTCCTCCCCATAGTTACCTCTTCCCTGGGTCCTTCCCTCCCATGCAATCCTGCCCCCAGAGCTATCTCCCTGTGCATACTCAGCTCTTCTACTTCCCCATGACTGATCTCTCCAAGGAGTGTATCTACCTAATGTAAATGTTTAGCTCATATGCCTATCTTTTGTTTGGCTGGAAGCCACAGGAGTGGGTTCAGTTCCAGACCTGAAGGGCAGCTAAGGGCTGTAGTCTCAGGGTGAACTCTTAGTTTTGGACTAAACTAATCTATTTTCTGTGTCCTGAGCTCATAACAAACATTTCTTATCTCCATGTCTTTCCAAACTGTTTCTCCTGCTCAAAATATATTCTCCCAGATTTTTCTCTACTTGTATATGTTCTGGGGCCCCTCAGGTTCTAACTTCCCATCAACTATTCCAGCCCACATATTCTTAACCAAATTCATATAGCACCAGTTGTTTTATGTCAGTCATTTGGTGCTCATGATGGGGTACTTTGTATTTTCAGCTTCTCTTTTTAAAGATATTGTTTTGTTTAGGTCATCAGTGAATCATGAACTCCTTGAGGGTGTTGTTGTTGTTGTGTGCCATCAAGTTGGATTCGACTCATAGCTACCCCTCCTTGGGTTTCTGAGGCAGTATCACTATGGAAGTAGATTGCCCAACCTTCCTTCCGAGGGTGAGAAGTATGTTTTTCATATCTTTGTAGCTCCACTTCAAAACCTTCCAGTCTTTCTGTCATCTTCTGAATAAAGTCAAACCTCCTCATCTTGTCATTCAAGGCCCAACATAACTCTATAGCTATGTTTGATTTATACATTAACTTACTCATTTATTGAACATTAGGGATACAATCACAAGACAAAAATAAAATAGAAGACACCTTTCCTGAATGGAAGTAAAATGAGTTTATAGAAATAATGGTGATCTGATTCATACTGGAGAAAAAACAAAAACAAAAAACCTCTGTCCAACTGCTTTATGGAGAATAGCCTAAAAATGGGCAATAGTGAAAGCACAAAGTTCAATTTGAAGGCTCTTGTAGTAATCAAAGTAAGATATAGTGGTGGTCAGACTACGGTGGTAACACTGGAGGTGTTGGGAAATGATTGAATGTATATTGAAGATAGAGCAAACAAGACTTGCTGATGGTATGAAACAAAGAGTGGAATCAAGGAAAAATCCTAGGTTGTTCCCTTGAGTATTTTGGTGTATAATAATGCCATTTACTAGGAGCTCTGGTGGCTAAGGCACTTGACTGCTAACCAGAAGGCTGGCGGTTCAAACCCACCAGTCACTCCTTGGAAGGAAGATGGGGCAATCTACTTCCGTAGTGATACTGCCTCGGAAACCCAAGGAGGGGTCGCTATGAGTCAGGTCCGACTCGATGGCACACAACAACAACAACAACAACAACAACTTGTGGTGTAGTGCCTAAGGCATTTGACTGCTAATCAGAAGGCTGGCAGTTCAAACGCACCAGCCACTCCTTGCAAGGAAGGTTGGGCAATTTACTTCCGTAGTGACACTGCCTCGGAAACCCAAAGAGAGGTTGCTATGAGTCAAATCTGACTTGACAGCAATGAGTTTGATTCGTTTGGCTAACGCCATTTACTTAAAGGAGGCAGGTTGGAGAAGGACTTGGTTTGGAGGCTGGAAATCAGGAGATTGATCCTGACATGTTAAGTTTTGTATGCTTGTTAGGCATCTCAAGGGAGATGTCCTATGGACAGGCTGAAATTCAGGAAAAGAGTCAGGGTCAGTAATATAATTGATATCATCAACAAGCAGATGATATTTAAAACCTTGGATCTGCATATAATCATAGCCCAGAATGAGTGTAAATAGAGAAGATAGCACTTCAACATTTAGAGTTTGGGAAAAGGGGAGAGGCCATCAATGGAAGCTGAGAAAGATAAAAATCTAGAAAGTATGATGATCTAATACACAAGTTACAAAAGTGGTTTTTGACAGAGAGAATGGTTAACCATGTCATATAATGCTGAGAGGTTGGGTAAATTGATACCTGAGAATTCACCATTAAACTGGAATGGTAACATCCAGCCTTGACTGAAATGAATTCAAGACAGAATGGGACATGAGAAAATAGAAACAATGAATACAGACAAGTCTTTTATGGATATTTTTACCATAAAGAAAAGAATTTTTATGTAGGATAGGAGACATTTTAATATGTTTATATTATTTATAGCAATATGCCATTGAAGAGAGGGAAAAATTGAAGTAGGCAAGAAAGGGGATAATCTAGAAGCTCCAGATTGAGTGAGAGAGTTTGGGGATTAGTAAACAATGGGAGCTCTTGTAGCATAGTGCCTAAGGTACTTGACTGCTAACCAGAAGGCTGACGGTTCAAACCCACCAGTCACTCCTCAGAAGGAAGATTGGGCAATCTAGTTCTGTAGTGATACCTCCTCGGTAACCCAAGGAGGGGTCACTATGGGTTGGGTCTGACTCGATGGCACATAACAATAACAACAAACAATAGGAAGTGCTGATCTTAGGAACAGGTTGGACAATTCATCAACTATTAAAAGAGAAAAGACAGAAAATACATTCAGATGCACATCATTTGGTAAGTTTGATAGCAGAAAAATGAAATAGATCTCTTCCAATAGCTTCTAATTTCTTAGAAAAATGGCAAGGGCAGTCATCAACAGAGTGAGGACTGGAGTTGGGTATTGGACGGTTAAGGAGAAAGGAAAAGATCTGAAATTGCCTTCTAGGGGATTGGAAAGAATTAGCTAGCAAATGTTGTTGAACTGACAAGTGCTGAGACAGTGCTGAGATTTGTGGTCATCAATTTAAGGTAAGGCAACAAAATTTTGTGTTTGTCTCTGGCTACAGTCAGCTGCTCAGATGCAGGTGAAGAGTAGAAAGAGAGGTGCTTAGCAGAATTAGAGCTTTACCGGTTGAGTAAAATAGTTAAGGAGAAGAGAAAGAATGATGACAGTGTGTACAATGAAGTGATTAATAATGATGGAGTACATAGTCTGGAAAGGAGCTCTGGTGGCTCAGCGGTCCAAGCATTTGGCTACCAATCAAAAGGTCAGCAGTTCAAATCACTAGCTGCTCCATGGGAGAAAGATGGGGCAGTTTGCCACCATAAAGATGACAGACTTGAAAACCCTATGAGGGCAACTCTACTCTGTCTTATAGGGTCACTATGAGTCAGAATGACTCAGTGGCAATAAATTTGTGTTAATTAGTGGATAGAACTAAAGAATTATTGATGTACATAATAATGAAAAGTAAAGTTATAAACTGATAAAGAGTAGAATACTTGAAATTGAGATTTTGGAGGTAGCACAGGTATTGATAACGACAAACATTAAGGAAAGGAAACAGTGAATAAACCTCACTCAAACTCACTGCCGTTGAGTTGGATCTGACTCATAGTGACTCCTCCTTGGATTTCTGAGGTGGCAGCTCTATGGAAGTAGATTGCCCAATCTGCCTTCTGAGGAGTGGCTGGTGCATTTGAACTGCCAGCCTTCTGGGTAGCAATCAAATGTCTTAGGCACTATGCCAGGAGAGGTTTGAAAAATGATTCTTATAACTGAGATAGAAGAGTTCAGCGGATCATTTAAATGGATGTTGAAGCTACCAAAATGTGATGATAGGAATATCGCTAGAGAGAGTATACTCTTGCAGTATACTCCAGAGGAGTATTCTCAGGTGAGATATTAAAAGTTTCAATGACTGAGGGGAATGACCATAGATTGGATAGATTACTTCAACAATGGATGTAGCAGATGGAACTGTGTTATACTAACACAGCATCTCATATTTCCTTGACTCATGATTTTATACTGTCTTTTGGTAGCTTGCTCCCCTCTGAATAGCAATATATTTCATTTTCTAATGAATCTCTTCTCAAGATGACTGACCTTACCATATTCTTCCCAAAATTGCTATGGAAGATATGGGTGATAATAGATCACTGACAGGCTCAGTAACTTCAGTCTGATTTAGTAACTTAGCAATTAAATAAGCACAGGATTTCATGTCCAAGGCCTAAAACCATTATTCTGGAGGTAAGAGACAGAAATTTAGAAAAGTTCTTGTAAAAACTTAGATCACCTATCAGGTACTTTATAATTACTTAATTTCATAAGGCATAGTAATGATGAAAGTCAAGCTCCTTAGAAATGAGACTGGCCAGACATCTTCTCATGTACTTTGGTCATGTTGTCAGAAGGGACCAGTCCCTGGAGAAAGATATTATGCTTGGAAAAGTAGAAGGTCAGTGAAAAAAGAGGAAGACCTTCAATGAGATGGATTAACACAGTGGCTGCAATGATGGGCTCAAGCATAACAGAGACTGTGAGGATGCAGCAGGACCAGGCAGTACTTTGTTCTATTGTACATAGGGTTGTTATGAGTTGGAACTGACTCAATAGCATCTCAAAGCAACAACAGATACCAAACAGTGTTTTCAGTGCTTCTCAGACTATTGGTATATGAATCACTTGGAGTTCTTGTTCAAATGCAGATGCTGATACAGTCATTCTAGAGTAGGACCTGAGAATCCTCATTTCTAACAAGTTCTCAGGTAATGCTAGTGCTTCTGGTCTGTGGACCAGACTTTAAGTACAAAAGCTTTACATAATTGTCTCACTAAATCATTA